AGGGAAATCAAATGCAGGATTAACTGGTAGGGAAATCAAATGCAGGATTAACTGGTAGGGAAAACAAATGTAGGATTAACTGGTAGGGAAAGCAAATACAGGATTAACTGGCAGGGAAAACAAATGTAGGATTAACTGGTAGGGAAAGCAAATACAGGATTAACTGGTAGGGAAAGCAAATGCAGGATTAACTGGTAGGGAAAACAAATGTAGGATTAACTGGTAGGGAAAGCAAATACAGGATTAACTGGTAGGGAAAGCAAATGCAGGATTAACTGGTAGGGAAACAAATGTAGGATTAACTGGTAGGGAAAGCAAATACAGGATTAACTGGTAGGGAAATCGAATGCAGGATTAACTAGTAGGGAAAGCAAATGTAGGATTAGCTCGTATGGGAAGCAAATTCAGGATTAACTGGTAAGGAAAACAAATGTTGGATTAACTGGTATGGAAAGCAAATGTAGGATTAGCTGGTAAGGAAAGCAAATGTAGGATTAGCTGGTAAGGAAAGCAAATGTAGGATTAACTGGTAGGGAAATCAAATGTAGGATTAACTGGTAGGGAAATCAAATGTAGGATTAGCTGGTATGGAAAGCAAATGCAGGATTAACTGGTAGGGAAAACAAATGTTGGATTAACTGGTATGGAAAGCAAATGTAGGATTAACTGGTAAAGAAAACAAATGTAGGATTAACTGGTAGGGAAAGCAAATGTAAGATTAGCTGGTAGGGAAAGCAAATGCAGGATACACAAATGGGGAAAGAAAACACAGGATTTACTTACGGATAGGGAAATGTGACGCAGGATTAGAGGATAAGGAAATCGGACATTCGGAAGACACATCAGCAAGAGACTGCTCCGCATACGTGCGTCCACAAGAAGTCGAGCAGACCGGTGGCGCCATCTACGTGCCACCTCATCGGCGGCAATCTGCTGAACGAGTGTTTCTGCGCATTTTCAGAGAAGCACAAGGCTTACCACATCAAAGACGAACAGCTTAGACGGGACGGCTTTAAGAAGTTCATGAAGCATGAACACTGCACGTACGAGAATTGCCGATTTTCCAAAGTGTGCAACCACATACACTGTATAAGGCCTGGTATGTACGAGTACGCCCCCTCCGTCCCCCCCATCCCGCTTCATCGGTGAGCGGAGTGGCATGCGCGATAGCGGACACACCAGGTGTCGCCGCTGCTGCTGTGGCTGGCTCTTGTTTGTTTGACGTTGTTGCCAATGCCTGTACGTGTGTGGCTAACCGCGCACGCGGCGGCGTCATCGTGCTTCGTTTCATTGCTCGAGGTTTTTATTTGTCATTTTTATTTCATCTGATAGCTGTCCGACGTCTGTATACTAAGCGACCAGCATGACCTGTGATTATACGTGTTGTTGTTGTAATATAGAGTTGTGTTTCACACTGTGCGGCACGCTAGTTTTTAAATCGTAGGATGGCGACTGAAGGACAGGACGGTAACTGATGGTGACGTAGGATGGTGACTGATTAGGGTTAAGGTTAGGATTAGGGTTAGGGGCAGGGTTAGGGGCAGGGTATTAAAGTACGAATAATTTATCAATCATCAGTCGCCATCCTACGATTTAAAAACTCGCGTGCGGCACGCAAAGATACGCTCACCCCCATCGCTCTGTAACATTGCGGTTTCGCGTCTCCCGTCTCCCGGCCACCAGAGGTCTGACGTTTGGTCAGTCTGGCTTCATGTTATCCCTGCCGTCCTGTCTTGCAGTCAATGCTGTGGCATCCTCAGTTCCAAGCATCATCGTTGCCCCCGGTAACCTTCCCAGATCATGAGTCTCTCTCTCTCTCTCTCTCGGTGGTCGGTTCCCAATGTCGCTTTCATGTTCTATTCTTCGACACTGAGTTGCTTCGTACTAGTGCTGCCAGCTTCACCAAGAGATGAAGCTCACTGTGCAAGCAGAACAGTGTCGGTCAGGGCAGGTGGATGCTTGCTACACAGATTTTAGATCCCTTCCTCTCTGCCTTCTTCCTTCTCTCCCTCACTCCATTAATCCTTTCCTCACTCCCTCTCTCCCTCCCTACCTTCCTCACTTCCTCCTTCCCCTCCATCCCTGCCTGCCTTCACTACCCTGCCTCCCTCCATCCATCCCTCCCTTCATCCCTCCCTCCCCTCCCTCCGTCCCTACCTTCCTCCCTCCCTTCATCCCTCCATTGCTCCCTCCCTCCCTCCATCCCTCCCTCCCTCCCCCACGTGTTTCAGGTTGCTGCTACCACGCTGCGTTTCACACACGCCGCTCCCATGTTTCTAACGTCGCTGCCTCCGCTCTCCGCCCTGCAGGCTGCCACTACGTGCTGCACTCGACCGGCCAGCTGTACTCGCACAAGCGCAAGCACGAGCGCCGCGACTCCGAGAACTCCTACAAGAAATTCAAGGAGGTGTCGTTCTCGACGACGCCCAACGGCACGACGACACGCACGACCATCACGACGCCGTTCAACCAGAAGGCGGGGGGCGCCAGCGTCGCTCAGCCCCGCCCCGCCGCCGCCGCCACCGCCACTCACTACTCTCCGCCGCCGCCGCACGCGCAGCAACTCCTGCTCGGCCAGCCGCAGCTGCTCAGCTTCCCGCCGGCCGCGTCGCCGACGGCAACCGTCGCCGCGTCGTCGTCGGCGACGGCGACGGCGACGCAGCATCACCTCGCGCAGACGCTCCCGTCGTCGTTTGCGAGCTTCGCGACCCTGCTGACGGGAGTCGACCTCGCGGGCGTGCTCAACCTCTCCGTGCCGCCGCCGCTGCCGACGCGGTCTCTGGAGGCGAAGCCCGAGGAGGTGGCGCCGCCTGGTGAGCTGCAGGTGAAGCGGGAGCCGAAAGAGGAGCTGGGCGAGGCGAGCACGTTGGAGTGTGCGATGAGGAAGAAAGAGAGAGACGAGGAGTGGAAGAGCTACCTGGTCAGGTAGGTGCCTGCGTGTGTTCTATCTGTATCCCTGCGTCCCTATGTCTGCATCTGTATTATTATGCCTGTATCCCTGCGTCTGCATCCCCCACCTGCTTTACAATTCTGGAATCACTCTCCAGCTTGAGGTTATGGACAATAGCTGTTACTATCAACAGATCGTCGCCTACTTTCCCACTCCCAACGTCACTCCAAAGGTGTCGTGCACGTGTATTTTCTTTTCCTACTCGCTTTCGTACTAACATGGTGCACGGGTAGTGCTTGGATCGGGAGTAGCCCACGCGTGTGGGTAGCGGCCTCCCCTTCCTGGAGTATTCCCCTGTGTGTGGTCTCAGGTGTGTGGTCTCAGGTGCATGGTTTCAGGTGCGTGGTCTCAGGTGCGTGGTCTCAGGTGTGAGGTCTCAGGTGTGTGGTCTCAGGTGCGTGGTCTCAGGTGTGTGGTCTCAGGTGTGTGGTCTCAGGTGTGTGGTCTCAGGTGTGTGGTCTCAGGTGTGAGGTCTCAGGTGTGAGGTCTCAGGTGTGTGGTCTCAGGTGTGAGGTCTCAGGTGTGTGGTCTCAGGTGTGTGGTCTCAGGTGTGAGGTCTCAGGTGTGTGGTCTCAGGTGTGTGGTCTCAGGTGTGTGGTCTCAGGTGTGAGGTCTCAGGTGTGTGGTTTCATCAGGTGTGTGGTCTCAGGTGGACGTGACCAGGTGGGTGTACTAACTGCATGATGTGTCGGCAGGTTTACGGCTAACGATCCGTGCCAGCCCACCTGTGAGTTCCTCTACAAGGACCACTACCACTGCACGGCCCCAGATTGCTCTGCCATCTTCAAGTCCAAGGACGGCATACGCTGGCATGCAAGGTAGCGCTGGTGGTGCCGCGCGGAGCTGCATGTTTCTCCCAGCATTCCCTGCCGGCATGCAGACGCGTGAAATAGTGCATGTCAGGAAGAATCCCTCCATCCTTCTACACACACGTTTTAGTGCCTCGGTCATCTCAGCGCATGGTGGTTGGATTTGCGTGATCTGACCCTCCCTTCCGCATGTTGCTTCTAAGTTAACGCTACTTCTGTAGAGCTTTGCTCCTCTTGTGTAGCAACACATATCTTACTTCTCCAGCCGCGATGACACCGCCATGATACCTCATTTGCTCTAAGGCCAAAACAAAATATAGGTGTGGTTACGGTTTCCCGACCGACCCTATTTATTCCCAGCTACCCTAAACATTTTATTGTCAATTTTCTTTAAAGTTAAAAAAAAAATAAAATATGAATTAGACAGTTCTTGCTTCAAAAGGCACAACGCACATCCTTCGGACATGGTTCGTAAATAAAATGTTTCAATAAAATAAAATGTTTTCCCTACCTACCTACCCTATTTTTTTTCGGCATGAAACGGTAACCACACATATATTTTGTTTTGGCCTAAGCGTTAAATGAAATCAAAAGGTCACGTGTAGCGACCAATATTACACTCCGGTTATACATTCAGGTGGTACTGTCAGTGAGACATGGGTGGTCTCAGTCTCTGTCACCCGTTGCAGTTATTTTGCCGGTGACGCTGACCTATAGTGACATGTATGAATGCTGCCACCTATGGTGACGTCACGTTCTGATGAAGATTTCCCGAAGGGAGATCGAAAATTTCGATAGTAAGTTAATTTCTTGGATTTAACACAAGATAAATATGAATTCATACTATGGTGAACACATGTTTGCAGGTCGCATGAGCAACAGGATATTGTTGCACGGACTTGCTACTGGATGTACGAGGCCAACAACCCGTGCAGACGCTTTCGTGACGGCGTAGACTGTCCCTACAGTGGCCGCGACAAGCACTACCACTGTAAATGGGTGAGCATTGTTCCCGTCTATCACGCCTATCAAGGAGCTAAATAGGAGCTTGATGCCTATAACACCGACATTATAAGTAGAAGTGTCACAATATCTCGCAAATCTCACGCCATCGCAGCAGAAATCTCGCAACCCTCACAACTCCTTCACCTCCAAACTGTAGCGGGAAGTGTTGCAATATCTCACAAATCTCACACAATCGCTGCGGAAATCTCATAAATCTCACGCTATC